CACTACTGCACTTGAAACGTCATCAAGCTGAACCTGCCTACCACCAACATGAGTATCTGAAGACATTTTCTTCTGGGTTTTCTGGACGATCTTGACCTCTCACAACCAACGACTCTTTGAATCACGAGTATCCTCTCCTTTGGATGTGATCACAAGAGCTCTCACTAACGCGCAAGAATGGACTCGGGCTCAAGGCGATTACAAAGCACCACTTGATATCATTACAACTCCATCTCAACCCCTGACGCCCTTGATCCCTCCTAGAACGATCCTCTGTAACTTCGATGCAGCGTGGAACCAAATCACAAAAGCAGCTACCTAGGGTGGATTTTCACAGCACAAGAAACTCATTCGCAAACAAGATTCCAATCGCAGACTCACGTCCAGTCGGCTTTCCTAGCAGAAGCCCTCGCGGTTCGCGTTGCATTCTCACACGCATTTATCTTGGGTACACAAAAATATGGCTCAGATCAGATTCCTTTGGGCTAAACAAAGCCATCGTTTCGACCTCAAAGCCGAAAGATTCCCCTCAGATGTTAAAACTCTATCTTCCTCGTTTTCCTTTTGTTTTTCTTGTTTGTTCCAAGAACCCACAATGGACCTGCAGATTCAGTGACAAAATCTGCATTGTGTAATATGAACTCTTCTTGGGCCCATGCCTAATTTTAATCAAAAGTAATGGTTTTTCAAAGAAAAAACTAAAAAAATGTAAAAGTTATTTATTAGTTCACCCAGTGGTTCAACCGGTTACCGGTTTTTTTGGTTTTAGTGTTTTATAGGTTTTATTAAGTTTTTATATATTTTTTCACTAAATCCAAACAAAATTTATCTTGAGTCACCTGATTTTATTGGTTTAACCGCGGATCTGAGTCGGGTTTCAAAACACTGCTACACACTCTCAGTGAAAGTCTGCATAGGTTACTCTTCTAATTGACCATACTTGGCTTTTTCAGAGAAGAATTCCATAGAAGTCCTCTTACGGAAGACTCTAACTTCCAAAGAAGTAACTAAAGATTTGACCAGAATCTCAGGAAATATCGAGAAGAGCTAGGGAAATCTTCTTATTCAAATTAAATGTTTTAGTTTCAATTGTCAATTGCAAAAGTAACCTACGATGACTTCCACCGACAGTGAATAGACTTTATGTACCATTTGAGAAGACTTCTATGGAAGTTTTCCGTCGAAACACTTCTTGGAAAGTCTTTTATAGAAACTCAATTTTGTGACACAATTTGGTCAATTACAAACATCCCCTATATATTAATTGAGAATCATTTAAAAAGTTGTAACCTTAAGTTTGTAAGAATTAAAAATAACCCCAATCCAATGTGGCATAGCTCTTTGGCTTCTATTTCAAATTCTAAGGATTCTAGAGCATGTGATATAATGTATAGTCTAAAAATTATATTCTCTAGCAATATAATATTTCATAGGCTATATTTGGTTGCATATATCAAAATATTTATTGTTTCGCATGCTTTCCTTAAATAAAACCTACGGAATTACCTAATGTGATTAAAATATATATATGACAATTAATGATTTTAAACAATAAAGATTTGATAACAATCTATATATTTTTTCTCATTTTGTTTATTTCTTTATTATTAAAATAAATTACACAATTACATTAATCATATAATAAAAATCTAGATTTTTTTGTGTATGTTGTATTTCGAATTTTTCAAAGTGAGTATAAATTACTAAAACTGTTAAAAGTCCCACATAAACTTTTTGGATCAAGATTTTATTTTTTTCTATATTAAAATATAATGATTATAAGACCATATGAAGAAATAATTTTAGTTCATATATATTTCATATCGTTTTAATTAAACTATACATCGTATGAAAATACATACTTATATTTTCATATTTGCCTTGAACATATATTGAAAAGTTAATATTTTATTTTTGAAATATGTCATTGTTTTTTTAAAATGATTATAAATTATTGAAACTACTAAACATCTCACATTTAAAAAAAAAAATCGTTGGTGTAAATTTTTGGTACACAAATATGCAAATAATCATAAAATCATATGAGTAGAAACATCATTTAATAAATATTCATATTAAAAGTGTGATATATTACTATTTTATATCATTTAATTTAATTATATATCATATACAATATATACGATTGATTATTTTGATTTATTTACCCTAATTGCGAATAAACAAGAGTGATAGTTAAATTTATATGCATACGCAAATTTATTACATAATAATAATTGATTTCTTAGTTATTTAATATATATTTTATTATTTTATAATATGCATAAAAAATAAAATAAATAATAAATATAAAATACTTATTGTGCATAAAGTGCAGATCTTAACCTAAGTATGTATCTCTTTAATTATTTTCAATCTTAAGTATTTTATAAAATCCAAGTCAAAACAAACAAACGCAATGAGAATAAATTTCAAAATAAATATTTATATCGAGTAATAACCAAAATATAAAAAACACAACAAGAAAAAAATTGAAGATAAATAGGATTGACACGTGAACGTAGACTTCTCATAACCATAATTAATTTTTAAATGGTTAAATCATGATATAAAACTGAGTTAATTTTTAATTTGTTAATTTTTAAATTTTTTTAAATTTTTAAATCATTATGATTATGTTAAATCATGACCATAATTAATTTTAATTTTTTATTTGTATCTGAAAAACTTAAAATATTGTTTTTAAGAATAATTTAAAATTTAACTTAATTTTTTATAATTTTTTTTTAAAAAATTATAAAAAAAAAATTCAAATATTTTACCAACTGTTTCTTAAAAAACATTAGGGAACTTGCTAATACTCTACCAATCAAGTCCAGTGATACTCCATATATTTTCCATCACTCGAACACTGAAAAGTGAAAAGATATATGAAATCAGGTTCATTAAATTCTAAGATTTGATCGACAGTTCTAATTACAATTGTTTTTGATACTACATATAGATAATTATATAAAAATTCCAAAATTCTAAAATTTCAAATACATATAAAAACAATCATATGTAAATTTTAAATTTGTCAATACTAGAATTTTATATTTTAACTACATATATTCACCCTGCGCAAGGCGCATGTCTTATCCTAGTGAGTTATTGTTACTATATAATCCCCTTCTTATTATTTGAGGAGAACTTTTGAAAAGAAACATTTACTTCATGTGTTTATTACAACCATGTCATTTCCTACGTGGCAACTCCACAAGCCTTCTCACTCTTTTAAGCTAAAAGACCTTAGTTAACTAGAGTAATTACACAACATGCCATTGATATAAATATACATATATGATATAAAAATTGATATAGCAATAGGCAATGACACATTTACTCCTTGCATATAGTGAACTACTATTAATAAAACATGCATATATAAGGCTTGTGTTACATTTTTTTGTACGATTTCATTTTATTGTCTACTGGGCATATATTTAAATTTTATATTTTATATTTTAAACTTTCCTATAGAACGATTTTGTTACATTTTTTTGTACGATATATTTTATGTATATATATATATATTGTAAATATTGTAAATGTAATATGTAATATAAAACATGCATATAGAATGATTTTGTTACATGTTTTTGTACGATTTATTCAAAATATATTTCGTTACATAAGTATAAATAAAAATCGCAAATGCTATCACCTTATTTCATAATTCCTTATTGTCTCTGGGCATATATTTAAATTTTAAATTTTAAATTTTAATTTTTTATTCAACATGCCTATAGAATGATTTTGTTATATGTTTTTCTACGATATATTTTATATTTTATTCAAGAAGGGGATATTCGTGTCTCATCAGAAAATTAAGGGATTTTCAGTTTCCTTTTTATGCATTTGTAGTATTAGTTGTGGCTACAATTATGTTCAATCAAAATTAATGGCCGAATCTGCATGCGTATTTCAGTTTACCTTATATTCATGCATAATATCAGCTTCCCTTATATGCACGAACCATTTGTTGTTATTGTATTTAAATATTGAATGAATATATTTCATAAATCGTAGAATATTAAACCAGACGACCCACTTTTACACACAAAGTTAATATTAAGTAAGTTCAGTCACGTATTTTTAGTAAGTAAATCTCGAAATTTTTTCATTAGGTGAACGGTTTAATGGTTTCTTTCCGATTGAATGTCGATCACCTATATATAATATTCTGAATTATTTGAGATGCCCATAAATTTGAACTTGCTTTATAGACAAGCGCAATGAGATACCCATAAATTTGAACTTGCTTTAAACTAATTAATTGTTATTATTGTCTGTAGGATTGAAAACAAAGAGTTTTGAAGACAATTTCAATTATTATATCATGTTTAATTTTCTATTTATTATTTTATTTTAATATAATTTTTCTCATTACATCATGTTTTATTTTTCTATGTTTTATTATCCTATTAATTATTTTTATTTATTTTCTATTGTTTTTTAATAGACGATTTCTTTACTTTTTTGTATCATCATATATCTATAAGACAAACAAATATATAAGACAAACAGTGAAAACTATATTCTATGAATCATTGCTTCGTTTCGCAGCTATACTAATTTCTCATTATATGATTATATGATTTTTATTATTGATTCACATCCACTACCTATTTTTAATTAAACAAATTAATATACCAAATTATTGTTCGATCAAAGTCAAAATCATCTCATCCGCGTAGGGCGCGGGTCAACACCTAGTAACATGTTTATTTGAGAGGACTTACATGGAATTCTTCTCTAAAAACACAAACACAAGTCGATTGCAAAACTAATATATGCATTGAACAAAAGACTTCCACATAAGTCTTGTCGGTTGATAAAACTTCCAAAACTTGAATATATGCGATCTATCAACTTTTATAATTCGTATATTTTCAAATTAAGACTTTAACAAGTTACTTCAGATCCGGATCCCCTTTGCTACAGTAACTCTGCGATTTTGAAGGCGATTTTAACCTAGTTTCTGTCAAGTCATCAGCTCGATGACGGGTCTCCCCCCGCCTGACCCTGACCCTCCGCCGCTCTCGACAGTGGTGCCTCAGTTCGGTTCTTTTCCATCTAACTCAATTCCTTTCCAGAATTCTCCTACTATGGTTTCTGATCCTGTAAGGAATGGAGTTTCTTCTGTCTCGCTCGGCGATAAGGTTTCGTCGGTGCATCTCTCTGACCAAGGAGCAGCGGCTCAGAACCAAGCTCCGGTCTCCTCTCAGGGCGTTTCCGGTTCGTTGAAGTTCCCTGTTCAAGGCTCGTCTGCTTCAGGTCTCAATCCGACAGGTACTATCCCCAACAAGGAAGGTACATACGGAAAGTCAAAGGCCTCTACTTCTTCTGCAAATGAAGATTTTAATTGGGCAAAAAATTTGAGTTCGGCTTCCAAATTCCCGATCTCAACAGCCCACGTTTCTACCTCTGCTGAGGGTCGACCGAGAGTTAAGGTCGCTAACGGAGTATTTGAGCGTGGTGCATCTTTGCACAAAGAATTTATTGTGGGCATATTCTATGGCAAGGCTCCTTCTTATGGCAAGATTTGGGGGGTCCTAAACTATCTCTGGGGTAAGGATCGTCGTGTCACCGTCCATCATCTGGTGAAAAATGCCTATATCTTCCATATCCCATCGCCCTCTTTGCGTAGACGTATTCTTCAACATGAGCTTTGGCGAGTTGGTGACTCACCTTTTTTTGTTACTGAATGGAAAGCCGAATTCAGTCTCAATCCACCATCGCTTGATCGAGCGCCAGTTTGGGCTAAGATTAATGGTGTGCCATTTGACCTGATATCTTATGAGGGTTTAAGTTGTGTATGTACTCCACTAGGCCGTGTGGTCGACTCTAAACCATTCACAAGCATCTCATCGGCTGAGGTTAAGGTCATTGTGGATCTAACTAAGCCTCTGCCGTCTGAATTGGAGCTCGAATGTGAGGACGGTCGTGTTCTACTACTGGAAGTGACTTATCCCTGGCTTCCTCCTTTGTGTCCGCTGTGCAACGAAATAGGTCACAAAGCTGCGTTTTGTCCGGATGCCTTAGCAAAGGAGAAGCAGTCCTTCGAAGAGCCAAAAGGCAACGCTGAAGAGGAATGGAATCATGTCCATTCAAAGAAGAAGAAAAAGAGGAAAGGGAAGTCAAAGGTGGTGGACAGCAATGCTGTTAATCCTGGGTTCATCACATCCTACTCAACGTGAGAGTAGGCAGATTACAGCCTCATCGTCTGAAAATCAATTTTTGGGTCTCAGACAATCTCAGTCGTCAGATCTTGTTGTTGATCCGACTGTGCCTGGTACAGCTCTGATGGTGGAGAAATCTGTTCCTGTGAATTCCTCGGTACATTCACATGTTCCTGTGAGTTCCTCTATGGCTATAGATGCTGTGATTATTACCAAGGGATCAGGAAGTCAGTCTGAAGTTTCTGCTTCGCCCGTGCTGGATATTGTTGTTGCTAATCCTCAGAATTTAATGGCTGCGCTTATATCTTCTGGGTCCTCTTCTCCGTCTAATAGGAAAAAGAAGAAAAGGAAATATAGCTCACCACAGGCTCCGGTTACTAGTGATATTCTTCCGCTTGAGTGGAAGAATAATCACCATCTAAATCTATAATATGGGGAATACATTTTTTTGGAACGTGCGCGGACTGAATGAATCTTCAAAGCATGGCCCGTTATCAACCTGGTTATCTGCAAGGTCGATTCTTTTTGGGGCGCTTTTGGAAACGCATGTGAGGGAAGTAAATAAGCATCTAGTTCTTTCTGCTATTGGACCAGGCTGGTCTCTTTTGGATAACTATCAGTTCTCAGAGTTAGGGAAAATTTGGATAATCTATAAGGCTCCAGTTCAGGTTACTCTTCTGTTTGCGGATCTGCAATCTATAACCTGCAAAGTAATCATGGAGGATGGTGCCACCTTTTTTTATACAGCTATATATGCTGCTAATGTTGAGGAAGTTAGGAGAGATCTTTGGAATTCATTAAGAGATACGAGTGTGTCGTTTGGCCTTGCTTCTACTCCTTGGATTGTCCTAGGAGATTTCAATGAGATTCTCCATCCAAATGAAACTTCTAACCCATCCATCATCAGAACCTCCAGGGGTATGCGTTTGTTTGGGGAGTGTTTAGGTGACATTGGTCTCTTTGATTTACCATCGACAGGTCCAAAATTTACTTGGACTAACAAACGCCCAACTGATCCGTTGGGAACAAAGATTGATCGCTGTCTAGTGAATGGTTCGTGGCTTCTTACCTTTCCAGGTAGTCATAGTTTCTTCGAGCCGCCAGATTTCTCAGATCATACTCCATGTTTGGTTAAACTCCAAACTGATCCTCCTCGGTTTGGCACGCGGCCGTTCAGGTTTTATAACCTTCTCACCAAGAACCAACATTTTGTGCAGACTGTCCAGGAAGCTTGGCTGTTATCGGGTATTCCTGCCACTACTTTAAGGGACTTCTGTTTCAAGTTGAAATCTCTTAAGAGGCCTATGAAGGCTCTTCTCAAGTCCAATTACAGTGAGATCGAAAAGCGAGTTAAAGTTGCTGTGGATGTTCTACATTCAGAACAACTTCTTGCTCTAAATGATCCATCGGAGGATAATCTTGCAAGAGAGAGAAGGGCTACAGATATCTGTAATTTACTGAGGGCGGCAGAAGAAAGTTTCTTTCGTCAGCGTTCAAGGATAAAATGGTTAGGGGAAGGAGATTCTAATACTCCTTTCTATCATCAGGTTATGACTGTGCGTAATGCCGTTAATGTGGTGAAGCAATTAATCAAACCAGATGGGAGTTTCACTAGTTCTCTACAAGAAGTTCATGAACTTGCTCTTGAGTATTTTGAAGGGATTTTACGCACAGTGAGAGGGTGCTTTTGTCCTGACCTTCAGGATTTTCTTGATGACCTCGTCGTCCAGAAGTGTAATGTTGAGGATGGAGAGTCTCTAGTTATGCCTTTCACTGGTGACATGATACGTAGCTGTCTTCTTAAGATGAAAAAGAATAGGACTCCTGGTCCTGATGGGTTTCCTGCTGAAGTTTTCCTAGCTGTTTGGACAGTTCTGGGTGGTGAATTCATCGCCTCTACCCTTCAGTTCTTTGAATCAGCTTTCATGCCAACTTCCTTGAACTCTACTTCCCTGATTCTTTTGCCCAAAAGACCAGGCGCTAATACTATTCAAGAGTTCAGGCCCATTGCTTGCCTCAACACGCAGTTCAAATTGATTTCAAAGCTCTTGTCTAATCGCTTGAAACAGGTCCTGCCCTCTCTTATATCCCCAAACCAGACTGCTTTTGTCAAGGATAGATTGATTTTGGAGAATATTTTACTAGCATCAGAAATCTTGCAAGGTTATCATCTGTCTTCTGATACCCCAAAAATTACGCTGAAAGTCGATATTGCAAAAGCGTTCGACTCAGTGAGATGGGACTTCGTGTTGAGCACACTGCAATCTTACAATATACCATCTCAGCTTGTCCACTGGGTTAAGGCGTGCATATGTTCTCCGTCCTTCTCGCTAAGCATCAATGGGGTCACATCCGGCTACTTCAAAGGTAAAACTGGCCTGAGGCAAGGTGATCCATTGTCTCCAATTTTATTCGTCATGATGATGAATATTCTCTCTCTGATGCTTAATAAAGCGTCACTGGATGGCTTCTTTGGGCTTCATCCTGGGTGTGAGCAACTACAGTTAACTCATCTCTGTTTTGCCGATGATTTATTGATATTTATTGACGGGTCGGAGGCTTCTTTGGAGGGGGTCTTGAGGGTTCTCTCTGCTTTTGAAAGAATGTCTGGGCTTGCAGTGAATATATCTAAGACAACAATGTTCTGCTCAGGTATACCGGATGATTTAGTGCAGAGGATGTCCTTGCGTTTTGGATTATCTAGATCACAGCTACCTGTCCGTTACTTGGGTGTTCCTCTGTGCTCCAAGAAGCTATCTTTCGGTGACTGTGATCCGTTATTGCTGCAAATTAAAAGGAAGATGAATGCGTGGACTACTAGGGCTCTTTCTTTAGCAGGCCGACTCACTATGCTTACATCAGTCATTTCTGGTATCATTCATTATTGGACCAGTGCCTTTCTCTTGCCAAAGAAGGTAATCAAAGCAATTAACTCCCTCTGCAGCTCCTTTCTTTGGCATGGGAAAATAGGAGTTGCTACGGGTGCGAAAGTGGCTTGGTATGATGTCTCGGTCCCTAAATCTGAAGGGGGATTGGGAATTAGAAATATGGAAGTATGGAGTGATGCTGGTGCTTTAAAACTTATATGGATGCTTTTCTTTAGGGCTGGATCGATTTGGGTTGCTTGGATGAGATCAAAATATATGTCTTATGCTCCATTTTGGTTGTTGAATGAAAAAAACTATGGGTACTCTTGGATGTTCCGTAGGCTTTTGAAACTAAGAAATAAAGCACTTCACTTTTTGAAAATTCATGTTGGGAATGGCGACTCCACATTTTTCTGGTGGGATCCTTGGACGCCTTTTGGTAAGCTTTATACCTTTCTTGGCCATGATGGGCCTTCGCGTCTTGGTGTTCCCTTGTTTGCTACTGTGGCAGATGTGCGTAATGGTACTGGTTGGTCTCTCCCATCAGCAAGATCTGATAAACAGCTGCAGCTTCTAGCCTTTGTCTCTACCTTGCCGGTAACTGCTGCTTCTGATGTGCCTCAGTGGTCTGTAAACGGAAATGTGCAGAAGAAATTTGTCTCCAAATCAGTTTGGAACGTGATTAGGCCCCATAAGCCTCTTGTATCATGGTTTAAATTGGTTTGGCATAAAGCAGCTATACCAAGGCATGCTACCACTACCTGGTTATTTGTCCTAAACCGTAACCCGACAATGGATCGCTTGAATACCTGGAACCCAGATACCCTAACCACTTGTCTTCTCTGTGGTTCTGGTTTAGAGTCCAGAGATCATCTCTTTTTTGACTGTGCTTTCTCAACTGAAGTTTGGCTCCTAATCACTCGAAAACTCAATTTACATACTGTTCCTAACAGTTGGACGGCCATCTTGGCATGGTTACCTTTGGCTCATAACGACAGATTTGTGCGTCTTGCTTTGCTACAAGGATGGCAATCAGCTATTTATGGTCTATGGTTTGAAAGAAATGCTCGTTTTCATTCTGGTCTTACTCACTCGACTGAAGTCGTGGCCAGGAATGCTCTGAAAATTGTCTTCGACAAATGCTCTGCCTTATGCTCTCTTGGATCCGTGTTAGGCTCTCTCTTGTTACAAATTTGGCATCCTCCCTGAAAGTCCTTTCCCGCTCTGTTTCATATCTTCTTGTAATTGATGCTGTTACTCCTTGTAATCCCTTTATTAATGAAAATCCTTTATCAAAAAAAAAGATTAAGACTTTAACTGGTGATCACGAAAGGAATAATAGAAACAAGTAGAAAATGAATGAATAATCTACATTATTAAAAATGAACTACAAAATAAAACTAATCTTATTTTCAACGGATTTATTATATACTTTATTTCCTTATTTTCAATTATCTTAACTACTTTATTAATTGATTATTTCCAGATAACTTGACAACATTTTATTATAAAAGTACCAAACATAACTTTCCTATTTTGAAGTGTTTAATTATATATATTTTACATTCATTTTTCTCTCTTTCAAAATATATCATTATTTGTATTTACCATAATCATTCGACGTCATTTATTTTACGTGTTAACCATAATAAATTCATATGTTTAAATGAAATTGTTCATGTAGAATAAGAATTCAAACCGGTTAAGAAATAATTACTTTTTACATAACGAGTTAAAGATGGGCATTTAGGATCACATTCGGATACATATCGATTTTTCGGGTATCGTTGGATTTTAAAATTAAACTTTGTTAGGATATTGAAATTTTTTAGACGAAATTCGAATCAGATTCTTCCAGGTCCGGATTTCTTCATAGAAACCAAAGTTATCTAAATAAACCTATATTTTTCGACATCTAATAACCAATATATATGCTTAAAAATATTTTTTTTTTTAAGTTAAACTTATTCCGTGCGGATGGACGGACCAAACTCTAGTTATTCCTTATTGTTCTTTTCGAAATTTGTTAAGTGTTGTATTCATACCGACAAATCTACATTAAGAAATTTTAAGGGTTGGCAACTCTTGGCATCTGTAAGCCAATTTATTTCAAATTTCTATCATCAGCAAATCGTGATTATTATGGTTGATTTGCTAAATAAGTACATGCCTAAAATTAGCGTAAACAGATTAATTAGGCCAAAACAACTAAGGAAAATCCACTGATGAGGCAAAAATCGAATCTTTTGGTCTTTAAATCAATATCCGTATATAACTAAAAAACTGTGTAACTTTATATCTTTTCACGAGTCCTTTTAATTCTATATAAATAACGAAAAGATATTCATGTTTTAATTCGCTGTCATACACAGCACATAAAGAAACCAAATAGAATCTATTAGGTATTATTAAAATACCGAAATGTGTTTAAGGACTATACTGCAAATTATTGGAGAAACCTTAAACAGAAAGAAGGACGTAAACTATAAATAGCCGATTACTATTCTTTACTTTTTATACCCCTCAATCAATCAATCAATTAATCAGGAGAAGAAAGGGAGTCGCCAAAATTTCTCGTATTTTCTCGAGAAAAAGCGATCCCATTTCTCTCTCGAGAAAAAACCTCCGCTGAAAATGAGAGAGATCCTTCACATCCAAGGAGGCCAATGCGGGAACCAGATCGGTGCCAAGTTCTGGGAAGTAATCTGCGGCGAGCACGCCATCGACTCCACCGGCCAGTACTGCGGCGAGACAGATCTCCAGCTCGAGAGGATCAATGTTTACTACAACGAAGCGAGCGGAGGGAAGTACGTGCCACGCGCTGTCCTAATGGATCTGGAGCCTGGGACGATGGACTCTCTGAGATCTGGGCCGTTTGGGCAGATTTTCAGGCCCGATAACTTCGTGTTTGGGCAGTCTGGTGCGGGGAATAACTGGGCGAAAGGGCATTATACGGAGGGAGCTGAGTTGATTGATTCGGTGCTTGATGTTGTGAGGAAGGAGGCTGAGAACTGTGATTGTCTTCAAGGTGAGAGAGATAACCCGTTTTGTTTTTCTTCTAGGTTTTAGGTTTTATGATTCTCGTTTTCTCTGTTTAGGTTTTCTTCTTCTCGTATTGACTACATACGTCGTCGTTTTCGTCGAGTTTCATTTTATGCTAGGTTTTTCTGTGATTGATTAATGGTGATCTCTTTGACTTCGTCAATGCGTATTGTTTGTTATAGCCAGCCTTAAGCAATTGTTTTTTTGGTTCGGTTTCAGTTTGATTTTCTCTGTTGTCTGCTCTGTTGTTCGGATATAAAAAATATTGGAAACCATCTGAGCACTTTTGAAATTCGGTGAGGTTAGTTCTATTTTCCGGTTCGGTTTGGGTTGTGGTTTAGCTAATATCCTAAAAATTGGGTCTAATTTGGGTCCGGTTCAGAGTTTTCTGATTAAATATTAGGTAATTTGGATAAAACATCAGGTAAAGTTAGATGGGGATTAAAAAAAGTTAAATAATTCCGTTTTTCTATAGTTTGGTTTATAAACAGTATTTTGGCTATATGGTTATTTCAAATTAAATGTAATTAATATTTTTAGATATATCTATTCGATTTTCTGTTTCAGTTTGGTTTTGTTTTTTGATCATTTGTTTTTTTTTTTTGGTTTGGTTTTCTGTAAAAATGCACCTAGAATCTGAAATTTGGTACCACACGTAAGCCTGGATTCATCACCTCCTTATGCTTTGTTTTTGATTTTTGATGAATGACCTACGCGATTCTCTGATACATGATATATTTTCTTGAGCAGGTTTTCAAGTATGTCATTCTCTGGGAGGAGGAACTGGCTCTGGCATGGGAACTCTTCTTATTTCAAAGATAAGGGAGGAATATCCTGACCGTATGATGATGACCTTCTCGGTCTTCCCTTCTCCTAAGGTCTCTGACACCGTCGTTGAGCCATACAATGCTACACTCTCCGTTCACCAGCTTGTTGAGAATGCTGACGAGTGTATGGTTTTGGATAACGAAGCTCTCTATGATATCTGTTTCCGCACCTTGAAGCTTTCTAATCCTACATGTGAGCTTTTGAAAACCCATTTCAATAATTCATGTGATTATACTTTGAAAACCCCTGACATTGTTGTTCTTGCTTATGTGGTTCTGTAGTTGGTGACCTTAACCACCTCATCTCAGCTACCATGAGCGGTATCACATGCTGTCTCCGTTTCCCTGGACAACTAAACTCCGACCTTAGGAAACTCGCTGTCAACCTCATCCCTTTCCCAAGACTCCACTTCTTCATGGTTGGTTTCGCACCATTGACATCAAGAGGGTCACAGCAATACAGTGCCTTGACCGTCCCTGAGCTAACCCAACAGATGTGGGATGCTAAAAACATGATGTGTGCAGCTGATCCTCGCCACGGCCGTTACTTGACAGCTTCCGCTCTATTCCGTGGAAAGATGAGCACCAAAGAGGTTGATGAACAGATGATGAATGTCCAGAACAAGAACTCATCGTACTTTGTTGAGTGGATTCCAAACAACGTGAAATCAAGCGTCTGTGATATAGCTCCAACTGGTTTGAAAATGGCTTCGACTTTCATAGGGAACTCGACTTCGATCCAGGAAATGTTCAGGCGTGTGAGTGAACAGTTCACTGCTATGTTCAGGAGAAAGGCTTTCTTGCATTGGTACACAGGAGAAGGAATGGACGAGATGGAGTTCACGGAAGCTGAGAGTAACATGAACGATCTTGTTGCAGAGTACCAGCAATATCAGGATGCTACAGTGGGTGAAGAAGAGTATGAGGAGGACGAAGAAGAGGAAGAAGAAGCTTAAAAGAACCATGATTGATTACTACTTGTGTAAGGCTTCACTCACTTCTTTTCTCTTTTTTATACGTTTGTTCCTTGGAATTGAATCTTCTCTCTTTATCTGCTTTGTGTGTTTTTGTTATTGAACTTGTTCTCGAGTGTAATCCTATATATGCCTATGCTTCTTTGTTTTGTCTATGAATATGTTCAGTGTCAAGCCTATACAATTTCTCTGACCAAAAACTGGTACAAACCGCTAGATCCTAAACCTCTGCCTCGAATCTTTCTTCTTTTCTTCCTCTTAGGCTGTATCTGCCCAAGTTTTCTTTTATACACTCTTAATTTAGTCTGCAGTATCATTGATGAAATCATGGAGACGATGAATCGTGTTCTGTTCCAGTTTTTTTACCTTCATGGGTGGTTCTTCTCCTCCCTTCGAATTCATAATACGTTCAGAACAAAAGGTTTCTCAAACAATAGCTTCCGAGCTGCACCTCTTGTATCCCTTGTCTCTGAGATCATTTGCCTCCTCGTGGTTGTGTAAATAGACTCTGCAGAGTTTTGTCTAACTTGGCGCTTAATCAAATTTCCCGGGAAAATTATCATATCTGCGCATGCTTGGCTTTGACGCAAGAACCTTGTGAACAATGTGAAAGAGATCACCTTTCTCCGAAGAAGGTAGTCTTCTCCGCTCCGACATGGGTTTTAGAGAGAGGAAAGAGGGTGTTTGGTCATTACATGTTCTAGAAATGTGCAGAGTTTTTTTTTTCTGATTATTTAAAATATTCCCAACCCGCCATTTTAGCTCCAGTTCTGAAACAAAATCAAAGATTCAGAACATAGTTTGAAAAAAAAACAAGTGTTTTAAACAACAAATTACTAACTGAAGAAAAATCAGTCAAAACTTATCAAAACGCTTAGATATGTTATAAAATAGGAGACATGTGAGAAACTTATTGAAAAATCTTCTGAAATTCTACTCAGATATGAAAATCTACATATTTTAAAAAACTTTTAATGGTTTCAAAACAAAGAAAAATTTCAATAATAACTTTTAATACTTGAATAATAAATAAAATAATCACATTAGGTTGAATCTAGGTTTCCATACTTGATCCGGATCCACAGTTAAACCGGTAAATCCGGTGATCCATAAATAATCCGGTTTGGATTTAATTAAAAAACCTGATAAAACCTGGCACAAACCCAGAAAGCCGGCATTACTCCGCGACTGGGCACCGGTTTAACCCGGTAAAACCCCACTTTTTCTTATAAGAAATTATCTAAAATATTATAATTTGATTACTAATGATTAAAATTTATTAGAGGGTTTGGAGATATGTTTTAGGGTTTAGACTTTAGATTAGAGTTTTTATTCAAGATTTATAATTTATATTCGAACAGAATAATAATTATTTATATTTGTTAAATTATACTAACATTTATTGTTATTTCAAAACTTTACATTGAAAAGCACTGCTCAAAAATAACTTGTTAGGTAAAAATAAGGTATGATATTCTTTCATGAAAATATAGCGAGTCAAAAAAATATAATCGTCACAATCTATTTTACATTAGAATAGTTTAAGAAATTACCAATACGAAATCTCGTCTTAAATTAACCAGTTGATATCCTCTCGTAAATCACCCATGAGAGAAACATCTCTAATGCTACAAAACCTGCAAAGGCTAGATACACATGAAGTTAGTTTAACTAAAGACCAATAAAGAAAATACCTATATAATACTAAAACACGATCATGTCCCATAATATAAAATTCACTCTTTTTTTTCTTTTCCAAGATAATGCACGACTTCGGTTTCACCCGTATCGAGGACGTCGCCATTTACATCTGTAAACAAAAGGAGTTAGATAAGGTGAGTGATTATGTAATATATTCTTTCATGGAAAATTAATGTAGTTTTTCACGACCTTTGATCTCTCTCGAACCTACAGCTATTGTGAATCACGCTAAGAAGTTTTGTTTTAGGATGGTTAGTCGATAGGATTTGGTCGTAGGTATTAGGTTTCTGGATATGCCAAATAGTAAACTCAATATATGAAGAATATTCTAGAGCAAATAATATATTTACAGATTTTTTTTCGTTAAATCTGTATGTAAGTAATTTCATGACACGATTCGTATGTAAGTTCATAAATAATTGGATTCATAACTAATTGGATTCACTACTATAGAAAAATGAAATTTTTTTATTGTTGATGAAGTTAATATATTTTGATTTTGCAAAAATATTTTATTGGTGTAACAGTTCCTAACATTTTGATTCCTTTTCATTTCTATTAATAATAATTATAAATTGTATTATTTTTTGAAATGGATTTTTTAACCAAAATTATTTTAATTGTAGCTAATATTAAAAAATCCCGAGATTTTTACATTTGATAAAAATAATATAATATTTTGTTTTTCATTTTTGTTGTTTCTTATCTTGTTAGAAAAATCATTTTAAACATATAACATGTTCGGTGATATATGTAATAATATATGTTTTAAGATTTATAGCTAGTGTTTGATAGGGAAAACGACTTATTCATACCTGAAATATGAGTACCTGAGAAAAATGCCTAAACTTTTTTTGTGTGCTAAAACATACCTAAACTTTTACTACGCGCAAAAACATATCTAAACTTTTCTTCTGTGTGAAATATACTTCATAATTTTAATTACATACACGAATTTATAAAATCCATGGTAATTCATACATTGACATTATCGATGACATACCTAAATGTTTTGTTGTTTTCCTATACAAAACTAACATTTATATTCAATCCTGACGATGATAACGGAGTCTGATGGAGAGACTGCCACCTTGTTCCCTAAGTCTGCAAGGTTGAGAAACCTCACCTACTCAGCTCCTTTATACGTCGATGTTAGTAAGAGACTTATTATGAAAGGGCATGATGGTGAGAAAGTTACAGAGACTCATGATTTTACCAAAGTTTTCATTGGAAAGGTCCGTGAACTTAGTTTTTGTGCAAGATTACATAAAAGCGGCTTCTTCTAAATGGTTCTGACTGTCAGGCCCGGCTCTTACCCATGGTCAAAGGGGCATGGACCATGGGTCCAAAATATTTTTTTTTCATAAATAATAGAGAAAATGACCCCTTTTTTTTAAGAAACCCAAATTTAAAGAGAAACTAGATTTTGACCCGCGCTTGAAAGCACGGAAATTTTTTATGATTAAAATTTTTATGTAATTGGATTTTGTCTTAATTTAAAGAATGTGTTGGGATAAAATCAGTTCATCAAAATTTGTGGTTATGATTGTTATTCATTAGTTTTTAGATTCAATGTTTATTGTAGATTTTGTTTTAGATTTTGGTTTTTGGTTTTTAGTTTTTAAGTTTCTATTTTTGATTCAGCTTTTGGTTTACGTTTTTAATTTTTAGACCCGCTGAGTTAGTTTGAACTGATATTACTAACAAACAAATCTCAAATAATCGAACATCTAATTTAAAACTGAAAAGATGACAAAAATTTTTTTAAAGAAATTTGTAATAGTTTATTTTGTAAATAAATAAAAGAAAAAAAATATAATCTGTTTTTCAGTTTTTGGTTTTGGATTTTAATTTTTAGATTTGGTTTTTGGTTTTGCTTTACATTTTTTTAAAATCAGTAAATTATTTAAGAGAAATAAAACAATAAATTATTTAAAAGTTACCATTGAAATTTATCAAAACAAAGTGATTTTTATTTAAAAATAAAAAAATACATTAACATGTTTTAAAGTATATGATTTAAATAGACAATTTTGTTTTGTTTAAAAATATTAAATACCTTTTGGGCTTAAAAATAATAACTGATTTTTTGATCCATTAAGGTGGAAAGTTTATTCAATGTTTTTGGAGTTTTTCCTTAATACTAAGCCCAAAAACCAAACCATATAATTTGTTATAAATAAGCCCAAAACTATATCCCATAAATAACCATCGGTTTAATTTAAGTAATGCGGTTCAGTTAACTATATGACTTGTATTATTTGTAACACTCTAGAAAGAGTTCAAATTTAAATAACAACTTGTATCAGTAGATAAAAATAATGACTCTATTTTAATAGAATAGATGATCCAATTTTAAGAAAAAATGACCCAATTTTCATAGTAAAATATAAATAGTAAACAAATAGCCCAATTTTTATAAGAAAACATATAAAATGCTCTACATTCTTTTAAATAATATAAGTATATGTAAAAAAAAAATTTCCATGGGCGCAAAATATTTTTGAGACGGGCCTGCTGACTCTAGATATGTTTTTTGTTCGTTTGGTATTTACTAGGTTCCCCATCATGCTCCGGTCTACTTACTGTACCTTAAATGGGAATTCGGAGAAAGATTTGACAGAGCTTGGAGAATGTCCTTATGATCAGGGCGGATACTTCATTATTAATGGCAGTGAAAAGGTTCTGATTGCTCAAGAGTAGATGAGTACGAACCATGTTTATGTGTTCAAGAAGAGACAGCCAAATAAGTATTCATATGTTGCTGAAGTCAGTTCCATGGCGGAAAACCAAAATAAACCTCCAAGCACAATGTTTGTGGGTACGCTCTCTGGCTCGAAAGGGGTAAGAGAAAAACTAACTACTCTCAACTCTTTTAGTTTCTTTAAATTCTAAAGGTATGGTTAAATGGATGCAGGGTTCATCTGGACAGTTTATTCGATGTACCCTTCCATATATCAAGCAAGAAATTCCTATTATCATAGTATTTCGTGCATTGGGATTTGTTGCCGATAAGGACATATTGGAACATATTTGCTATGAGTTTGGCGATACTCAGATGATGGAGTTTCTCAGACCTTCCCTGGAAGAAGCTTTTGTTATTCAAAGTCAGCAGGTAACCATTGATCCTACATTTGGTTAATGATATGTTTAATTATTAATCCTGCAGTCAGTTGGTAATTTTCATATTGCTTCAGGTTGCCCTTGACTATATTGGAAAACGTGGTGCACTTTATGGTGCACCCAAGCAAAAGAGGATAAAGTAATATAATAATCTAAACCAATTGACTTCGGTGTTAGGTTGTAAGATTATTGAGATGTTGAGACTGGAGGTTTGCAATATTATCATTGCAGGATTGCAAGAGACATCCTTCAGAAAGAAAATGTTTCCTCATGTAGGAGTTGGTGAGTTTGAGACGCGGAAAGCTTACTACTTCGGGTACGTATTCAGCTCACTCGTGTTCTTTGAGTTTCATAGGGCTTTGTGTTGCTCATATTATGAAATACCCTTCAGGCTTATCATACATCGGCTATTCCGTTGTGCACTTGGCCGAAATCCAGAAGATGATAGGGATCATTATGGTAACAAAAGGCTGGATCTTGCTGGCCCTTTACTTGGACGACTGTTTAGAATGGTTTGTTACCGTCCCCCACAATCATACATTATTGAAAAATTAAAAGAACTTTTATAATTTTAGTTGATATCTTACTGAATTGAAATCTTCTTTAATGTAGCTTTTCAGAAAGCTAACGAGGGATGTGAGATCTTATGTTCAGAAGGTCCCTTACGTATTTACTCTTTCTTAACCCGAGGACTTTACTTCTAGATTGTTATTCTGTGTTTGGAAGTCTGATTCATGTCGCTATAATAGTGCGTTGACAATGGCAAAGAAGTCAATCTTCAGTTTGCCATCAAGGCTAAAACAATTACCTCTGGCCTGAAATATGCTCTTGCTACTGGGAACTGGGGCCAGGCAAACGCTGCTAGCACAAGAGCAGGAGTCTCTCAGGTTAGGATATTTCTTTGTTTTTTTTATTGTTTTCAGCCCAAATAATACTTTGATATATGTTCAATTACAGTTTTGGTCCATTATGGTTTATTGCATGATCTACATGGTTCTCAAGTTTTTACTTCTACCAGGTTCTAAATCGGCTCACATATGCTTCCACTTTGTCACATCTGAGGCGTCTCAATTCTCCTATTGGGCGTGAAGGTAAAACCTTGTTCTTTTCCTGCATTTCTGTTTTGTCTCAGTTTATCTGCTGGTGCAGTCAGGGTTCATTTTATTATATCCGCATCCTTGCAACTTATATTCGCTTGAATGTTAACCGAGTCTTATATGCCAGCAAAATTGGCAAAACCAAGACAACTGCACAACTCACAATGGGGTATGATGTGCCCTGTTGAAACACCTGAAGGACAGGTATAGTTGTTGCATTTATAGAAATATAAATGTTTTGGGTTTTATTTAGTTCAATTGTTTACTGTGGCTTTGCTTTGACAGGCTTGTGGTCTAGTGAAAAACTTGGCGCTCATGGTCTACATTACAGTTGGGTCAGCTGCTTCTCCCATCTTGTTTTTTTTGAACGAATGGGGACTTGAGAATCTTGAGGTCTGTAGCACTACACAGTCAGTTTCTTACTCAATCTTTGCCACTTGGTTTCATGTATTTCGTCAAGGTTTTAACTTGATTGTAGGAAATCTCTCCATCAGTTATCCCCCAAGCCACAAAAATCATTGTCAATGGAAAGTGGATTGGAATTCATCGAAATCCCGACATGTTGGTGAAAACGTTAAGACGTTTGAGGAGAAGGGTAAGGGTGCTGTTTCTTTCACATTTTCAAACATTAATTGCTACCTTTTGTAGAAGTGATATACTTAAGTTTCCTCTTGCAGAATGATATTATTAACTCTGAAGTTGGCATTGTTAGAGACATTCGTTGGAAAGAGCTCCGGATATACACTGATTATGGTCGTTGTAGTCGTCCCTTGTTTATTGTGGATAATCAGAGGCTCTTAATAAAGAAGAAAGATATATATTCTCTGCAACAAAGTGTAAAGTTTATAGTTTCTTGTTTTCAAAGTACGCTTTGTTATAATTTCAGTGTACCAATACATCTTTTCATAACCCAGGAAAATGCAGAAGAAGCTGGTTGGAATCAACTACTTAAAAAGGAGTTTATAGAATACATAGACACAGAAGAAGAGGAAACGACTATGATATCAATGACTATCAATGTGAGTAATAAAATGTCTGAAAATTGAAGATTGTGAATAAATGCACTCATTGGCACAGAAAACTCACCACTTAATATTGTTTCAGGATCTGGTTTAAGCTAGACTCCGTCCCGACGAGGCATATTCTGACACCTACACACATTGTGAGATTCACCCTTCTTTGATATTGGGCGTGTGTGCTTCAATCATACCATTTCCCTACCACAATCAGGTTTCACTCTCTTTAGTTGACTTATCTATGAGGAGAGATTTAGTTATGTACAAATCAAATTTATGCTAAATGATACCTTTCCTGCCACTTCTGCGTTTTGATGAATTAGTCACCCCGTAATACATATCAATCAGCTATGGGAAAGCAAGCTATGGGAATATATGTCACTAACTACCTATTCCGCATGGTATGTTCTAGGCTCTTTAATTTGTGTTCTCTTTCTGCCATCTCTTGTAATAACACTACAATGCATTAATGATATCATTGTTCTGCCAACCAGGATACCTTAGCCTATGTTCTTTACTACCCTCAAAAGCCTCTGGTCACCACAAGAGCTATGGAGCATCTTCACTTTAGGCAACTTCCAGCAGGAATTGTGAGTTATTTTGCTTGAAGTCTTTCAGAAATCCAGCTTTTATCAATTCTCTTAATTTTTTTTTCTTTTCTCCTTGTGTAGAATGCTATTGTTGCCATTTCTTGCTATTCTGGATATAATCAAGAAGATTCTGTCATCATGAATCAGTCTTCAGTAGATCGTGGTTTCTTTCGATCCTTGTTATTTCGGTCTTACAGGTGAGAGTATACCACATACTTGTGAACATTTGCTTTCGGTCTTTCCACTGTATTTATACTGCAATCTTTCTGCTGGCAGAGACGAGGAGAAAAGAATGGGGACACTTATCAAAGAAGACTTTGGGCGCCCAGACAGAGGAAATACACTGGTAAGACACAATTTAGACACTTGCGGTTCATATTTTCTGTTAGTGGAGTTTTGACACTTAGAAATTCTGCCGCAGGGTATGCGACATGGTTCTTATGAGAAACTGGACAATGATGGTCTCGCACCTCCTGTAAGTCAATGATTTATTGTTCATTTAATGGTTAACTCTCTGATATGATTAGGCGAGTTGTGCTAGGAAGCATATCATTATATTTAAATCTTTTGTGGTATAGGGTACTAGAGTTTCTGGTGAAGACGTAATTATTGGGAAAACCACTCCAATATCGCAAGACGAGGCTCAAGGACAAACGTCACGATACATCAAACGTGATCGCAGTATAAGTTTGCGTCACAGTGAAACTGGAATGGTGGATCAGGTAACTTTGGTATATCCTTGCAGTTATCAGTTTAGAATGTTTACGCACTGAACTATGAATGTGATAATATTTTGTTTATACATAGAGCCTGGGGTTCTGGAAGTTCTCTAATTTTTTTAACTTGTGAACTTCTTGTATGTAGGTGTTATTGACCACAAATGCAGATGGTTTGAAGTTTGTGAAAGTGAGGGTTAGATCAGTTCGTATTCCTCAAATTGGAGACAAATTCAGTAGTAGACATGGTCAGAAGGGAATTGTTGGCATGACATATACACAGGAGGACATGCCTTGGACGATAGAAGGCGTTACTCCTGATATTATTGTGAATGCACATGCTATCCCGTCTCGGATGACGATTAGGCAGCTAATTGAGTGCATCATGGGAAAAGTGGCAGCTCACATGGGTAAAGAAGGAGACGCTACTCCTTTTACAGATGTCACGGTAATTTTACATTTTTCCTTAGCTTCTTTGTTTTAGCTGTGACTTGAGGTATAAATCTTACACATTGTGTGTTGAATCTGAGTTTCGTACGGTCGACTGACTGGAAAACTAAACTCGATTTGTGGGTTCTTCAAAGGCGTTTTATTAATCAGAGTTGATAATAAGAAGAGATTACAGAGAGATTCGAGGAAAAGAACAAAGGTCGGAGCTTTATAAAAGTCCGACCGGATTACAAAGAGGTTCGATCGATAGTAAAACCCTAAATCTTGCTGTCAGTGTTCTTGTCTCAATTTTCGGATCCCTTTCCTCTTGCCGTCTCTCTTCCTTTTATAGTTATCGTTTGACCTTGTCTCCCATTTCCTAGAGCTCGTTCGTCCTAGGAGGTTTGGGCCTAGATTCCTTGAATGGGCTTTAGCGAGTTAGGTGTAATGTCGGTCGGGCCGTCATTACTCGGTTAGGTCGGTTGAATGCGGCAATTGGTCGATTGACTATAGTTTAAACCGCGCGTCTTCCTGGCGGAGTTGGCTTCTGGGCCGATTGTATCCAAAGATCGGTTGGGCCTACTTATTTGATGGGCCTACTTATTTGATAGGCCTAATGGAGGGAAGTAGAATTCCTCTCCTACGATAAGCCCCCCCCCCCCTAGCCCGCTGGTATAGAAAGCTGTTCTTCACAGTGGGACTGTAAGGATTGGTTCAGATAATAACTGTCCCGTCCGTTCGCCGTGAGTCGATCGAGCGTCGTGCATCTCCAGATCAATTTTGTTTAACTATTCCGGGGGACCCGTGCCCCTTTGCTTAAATTTCCGACGGACGGTTATCTCGAGATCGGGCCGATAAAACATGAGACTGCTTAATAGGCCCATTAGGTTTAATAATGGCATATTTCTCGAACTCCGCAAGTTTTTCCTTATTCTCTATAAATAAAAGGGTCTCCCTTCCATTTCTTTTATTCTTCTTCAACCACAGAAGGTACTCTCTATTTCTTCCCTTCTCTCCTTCTTCTTTTTTCTTCTTTTCTTTCGGTCACCGCCGGAGGTGGAGCTCGATCTACCGCCGCCGCCCTTCTTCTCCGATAGCCCGGCTCCGCCTTTTTTGGTTTTGCGCCGATCGGTTGATTGTTCACAAAAAAAAGCGAGCTTTGGATCTTGTTTTCTCGCCGTCGGGCCTCCTTTTTCTTCGGGGGAGATCGGCTGACTTCTTTGGGGAAAGGGCGATTCTTTCTACAGTCGATTGGCCTCCTCTGTTTTTTCTTCGCTTGTGATAGGCGATTGACCGGGATTGGGATTAGGTTCTGGCGATTTCCCGATGCTTAACCCTGGGCGATTTTCAAGATCTGAAAAAGGAAAAAGTATTGCGCCGGGTGTGGCTTCTCCGGACAACCGGCCGCACGTCCCTAAGCTTTTGTCAACTGTGGTAGGGTCAATCCACGATGCTTCGGTTGTTGTATCTGGCGCGGATTTTTGGACGGTTAGGATTTCCGAGAATGCGGAAGAGTCGACCGGCGGGATTGCCGACGCTCATCGTTCGTCAATCGAGGCAAGGGAGATGGGGTCCGTGAGCTCGAGTGAATCTGAGCGACATCCATTGCTCGGCCGTTCTGGATCTGCGGAGGATAGTGACCGGCCGTCAGGTCTTGATGAATCGCTTGGCCGGTTGACTCCTTTTCGTTATCACCGTGATGGTACCGTCGAGCAGTTACCCGATCTCCCATCGAACTTTTCTCGGCCGTCTTCCGTTACCGGGAAAGATTGGGGAAAGGTTGAACCAACCCTTTCGGATTATGGAGGAGTCGTTGGGCTCTTAAGGAGATGTCGGGTGTTTGGTGTGACGTTTATGATTCCCTGACCTGATCAAAGGCCTTGGTCTCCCCCTTTCGGCTTTCATTGCGTCTACGAGTCGTTCTTTGAGGGGGATTCCAGGTTATGGTTTCCTATTCCCCGTCTCATCACCTCTTACTATTTTTGCCGAGGTGTGGCGATCTCTCAGCATGCGAATGAGGTAACGAGAATTGCTGTGGCCTTAATGGTGATGGCCGCAGAAGTTGGTGTGTCAATGACCGTTCGGGTTTTTGAGGAGTTGACACAAGCGCAGCCTCAACCTGGTAATGTATACACAATCCATTTGCGTTCTGGGCTGCATATTCTGACCGGCCATCCTACGAGGAGCAAGCGCTGGCAGTGCTCCTATTTCTATGTTAGGAATGACGTCGATGTATTCGAAGAGCCGCCCGGCGATCATTTTCGTGTAGAGTGGAGCTGTAGTATCGGTATTTTGCCGATACCGAGCGATTGATGTCTCTGTGTTTCCTTCGATTGATTGTTTTTTTTGTCATTGTTTTCGTCTTTGCAGTTCCTCACCCAAACACATGGGCGTATCCAGAGAGATTTGAGGAGGACGTTGCCAAGATAGTAGCACTTCAGACAAACGTGTGGGACGATTTTGACCGTCGTCGAATCAGTCGTCAGCGGAAACAGATCGCTAGAGGTTAGTCGCGCCTGATTTTCGCTTGATTCTCTCTATTTTTTTTATTATAATTCTTGTAGGCGGCCGTTGGACTGACCCTGTTCTCGTATGTTATTTCTTCATTTTTCTTTTGTCGACAGCTTTTTGGAGGTTGGACATCCCTTGCAAGCATACCAAAGGAAAAAGACTAAAGCTCTCATCAATGGGGAATAATTCGAGGAACTATCAAAGTTGCCATGATATTCTTAGTGCTCAATTAGGCACCCGGGACTCCGAGGCGATGGCTGCCACAAATGAGCGAGGAGGTCGGACTCCTACTCCGCATTGCGAGGATACAAGGATCACCGCAGGTTGCTCTCCAGTGGGAAGTTCTCCCCACCAAACGTCAGACGGTCGTCAGTCAAAGAAGAAGAAGAAGAAGGATCAATCCTCCAGGACGAAGTTTGATACTGAACGGGAGATGGTTTCCGATGATCGTTCAGCTGGTGGGACCGAGATGCTGGTGATGCCGTTCGGACCAAAGTCTCTCAGGAAACTGTCGGAGTGGAGTTGGGGCGATCTCCAAAAGGAACGAGGAAGAGGCCGTCGGACGATGGGCTTCCTGGTATGAGCAAGATGAGGCAGAAAGATGCTGATGACCGTGTGGCCTCTCCCCAATAGTTTAACGACCCTCATGATTCCCTACCCTGTCGGCTGCTTTGGGGTGGATCCACTCCTCCAGTCAAGAAGCCTCCACTTGCTCCTTCTGCGGCCGTGAAATTCGACTACAGCGGGACGCGCCCGCTCGCCAATGATGATACCGCATGCGGCGAGCTGGTTCGTCAAATGCGAGGAGGACCGAGACTGATGCCCGAGGTTCGCGAGTTGGCATTTCCGGAAAAGTATAACGATTCAGCCCGTGCGGATGCGACGGTAAGTTTTAATTGCTGCTCATTCGATCATTTCTATGAGCTAACAATCTCTTCTTTTTTCTTACCGACCCTTCATATCACTTATCGCGTTTTTGACAGGCGTTGGCTCGGAAGAACCTCCTTGTGTTGGACTATGAGTGTGCCTTGCACAAAGTAGTTTCGGATCTTGTCAAAGCCGAGGAAGTTATCAAGGCAAAGGATATCGCATTTGAGAAGATGAGGGATGATGTTTCTGCAAAGGCGAAGGAGGCAGTAGTCGAACGCAGTCGCCATGCGCGCGAATACAAGCACGCAAAGGAGGCGAACTGCCGTCTCGAAGTTGAGCTTAAGATTGCTCGGGATAGGATTGCTAAGCTGGAAAAATACTTGGTCAACGCTGCTACAAAAGCGAAGGCAAACATGGACCGTTCGAGGCAAATTCGGAACCGCGAGGCCATGTCCATTAGAGGTCATTTGATGTCATCAGCAGATAGCCGCTTCGAAAAGTTTCAGAAATACATGGCGGATCGGGACAAGCTTGAAGAAAATATTTCCCTTCACAGCCAAGCCATTGGGGCTTTGGAGTCGTTTGACCTGTTGAAGGAATGGGGGGCGAAAGACCCTCGGATGCTAAAAGAGACTTTGATCGCGAATGAAGCGCGACTCAAAGAAGAGGTCAAAGGAGCCAAAGTCGAGGAGATTACGGAAATGGACCTCGCCCTCACTCCTCCTCGTCATGAGCCGTTCCGCGATGTAAACCAGTTTGGAACGAACTTCGGGTTGGTAGACTCAATGACCGCGGCGTCTCTTCGCTCACCGGCAGTCAGCTCAGAGGATGCTGTCGATCGGTCGGCTGATGTTGTCCCAAGTGGCAGTGTTTACACTGAGGAGGGAGTTCCTGGTGGGGATAATGCCGAGAGATCATCCGCCCCGGTTGTGGGAGATCCCGAAGGCTGATCTTTGTTTTATTATGTTGTATTATGTTATCTTTTGGTGTTGGCGTTTAGATCGCCTTTGTTGTACTCATTGACGCTGGTACTCTTTGTTGTTGTTGCCCTTCGTGGCTTTTGGGATGATCTACTTGTTTTGAAATGTTGTCTTATCCTCGTTTCATATTGCTTAATTCTTTTGCAAAATTTATTGCGAGAGTCCATCGGTTGGCCTTCTCGGAAATGAGCACGGAGAGGAGTAAGTTTGTAACAGTCGGTCGGCTTCCGCACAGGGATGATAATCGCTCGGCCGATCGATCTGATTATGTAGGGACGAAGGATGAACCGTTGATCCTCCAGGACGATCAGTCGGCTGGCTGATCTAGTTGTGAAGCAGTGAGAGACGAGCCGTTGATCGGCTAATGCGATCGGTCGGCCGATTGCTCAAATTTAGATTTTTTTGCAGAAATCCGTTAGGATGGTGGGATTTGGTTTTTGTTTTTGGTTATAGCTGGACCTCTTAGGAGGCTGCCTACGTACCCAAGGAGAGGGATCAAGCCATTCGTAGTTCGGTTTGGCCAATCGATTAATCACCTTCTTTTCTCAAGGGGGAGCGAAAATTATGCTAGTCGATCGATCTTTTTTTTTTGAGTCGATCGATTGGTCATCTTTTCTTCCAGAAGAGGAGGGAGAGTGATGCCAGTCGACCGGTCTTTTTTTTTTTTGAGTCGATTGCTCGGTCATCTTCTCTTTCAGAAGAGGAGGGAGAGTGATGCCAGTCGATCAGTCGTTTTTTTTTTAAAGAGTAATACCTTTAGAATAATACTTGCGGAGGTTCGAAGCGTTCCATGATCTTGGCACTCATTCACCAGAGGATGTCTCCAGCCGATAGACCCCGGGTTTGACTACTTCGATTATGTTGTATGGCCCTTCCCAATTGGTACCAAGTTTCCCATCTTTCCACTCTTTGGTGTTCTCAAACACTTTTCTTAGGACGAGGTCGTTAAGTTCCAACGGTCTTGCTCGGACCTTCTTGTTGTAGTACGCCTCAGCGAGATGTTGGTAATTCTGGATTCGTAGAAGGGCCTGATCTCATCGCTCTTCGATCGCATCAAGGGCTTCGAGCAGCATGTCCCTGATGAGTTCGTCATTATGGGGCATTTTTGCTTGGCGCAGACTGGTGACATTGACTTCCGTTGGAGCCATTTCCTCAACGCCGTAGGCCAAGGAGAAGGGTGTTTGACCCGTTGCGCTTCGCGGGGTCGTTCGATGGGACCAGAGGACCCTGTCGAGCTCGTCTGCCCAGTGTCCCTTCTTGAAATTGAGACATTTTTTTATTCCCTTGATAATTTTCTTGTTCGTTGCTTCCGCCTGTCCGTTGCCTTGTGGGTAACGGGGTGTCAAGGTGTTGTGACGGATCACCCGTGATTATTGTGAGCCGTTGTCCGTGATTATTTCGTAGGGAAGGCCGTGCCGGCAAATGATATTCTTCCAGACGAAGTTTTGAACTTCTTTGT